GCCGAGGATGGTTCAAAACACTGGTTGCTTCTGTAATAAACTGCATATACGGAACAATCCCGAAGAAACATGAGACCATTGCATCAATCTCCTGCATGAAAGAAGAATGTTCAATTTTCAAGTTTTGTAATTAATTAAACAGCATATTACGGATGCAGGCAGTGCACAACCACTGCTGAATCCGGAGTAAGATCTGCTACGACATTTTATCTCAGAATGGTGAACGACCTGAAGGTAGGGTCAGATCTGACTGATACAGCTGTCTTCACATTCTAAGATGAAGAGCTCTGTTCTAATGCCAATGTTTTGGCATTTCTTGAAGCAGCATTTTGAAAGTTTCTGGTAATAAGTTTAAGGACTTGAAAATTCAACATAATTATTTTATCGAAGAGATTTGTATTTGATGTTCCTTACAAGGTTGCAACCCATACGGATTTTTGTAATACTTTTATTTAATAGACCGATTTTAAAACATATTTGAAACTGACCAATTTAATCCATGCAGAAACATTTTACTTACACGCGTAGAATAATCTTTCAAGTTTTACCTTCATTAAAAATCCCAGAAACTCGTCCGTCGTTTCAGGAACTCCGAAGTCCGGCCAGGATCTGTACTGGAGATGAATTACTTCACGATTTTCGTCAGACTGAAGACGAAACATTAGGCTATGAACAATATATTTTTAGAAGAGGACAGCTCAGCTTCAAACCTCAAGGTTATCGATTCTAAGTTTTCGCACACGATAATGTCCGGCGTCCGTTTCATCTAGAAGGGTAACTTTGAAGTCTCCGAACAATTTGCTGTCAGCGCTTTCCGAGCCAGGAGAATTCATGGGAAAGTACTGGTAACATTTGACCTGGAAAAAGAAAGGAACAAAACAGAAAGTAAACCGCTAGAAGTAGCCGCTTTTTTGTGACCTACCTGATTTTTTTCAACGAACCGATTTAACATGACAATGACGTAACAGGACATCTCCCACACCATTCGCCAAAAATCCGTGCAGGTATTCGGCATTGGACCCTAAAGTTATGATCCTCCAAAAAGTGCAAATGTCATAAATTATGATAAAGTTAATGAACGATGCAAATCAGAGAAGCTCCATTACCTACCAAGCAAACGACCTATCACTAGCATTTTCTTGAAAGAAAACATCGTTCTAATGCCCTCTTTCATTAAGATTTAAGTTTGAGACTTCTTAAAGCTGCACATCTGTAACCAATGTCTGTAACAACCGAATTCTGATATTCAGACTAAATTTTGACAATATAGACCACTGAAATTAACATTATGATAAACCAATCATATCCAACAAAAAAAAACGTGATTAACTTTTAGAACCAGAAGAAGAAAGAAACATTTTGGTAGAAAACAACCAATAGCCACTAATTAACATCATTTGAATAGAACCGATCGAAGCAGGCCTGCATCGATGCCTAAATCTGGCAGCTCGTCATTCTTCAATAAATTCTGCTAAGCGAATACAGTTTCAAGTGCGCTGTACATCATAGCCACTTCATGCTGGAAGTTTGCATGCGTCAGTCAGTCAGTCAGTCAGTCAGTCAGTCA